GAAAGTCAGTTAATTATATCAGAATGTATATTAATTCTTTCAAGTTTAAATATTTTAAATATTTTTATTAGTAAATATGTTAAAATCAGATACAAATTTAATAATTTTAAAAAGAACATCCAAGTAAGTTTTTAAAACTTTTATAATTATGTAAATGGAAATGATACTAAATAAGTACTATAAAATATATTTATTACCTTTGTACTATTCCTTCCATAGTGAGTACTAATTTGTATCATTTGATCACTGGATATGTGGAACTTGCATTTAGCCATACCACACATTAAATGAACTATACCTGAAATAAGTGGCTCAGTCACAAATAGAAATTATGGTTTTGCAAAGTGATTTTTCAGATTAAATAAAATTATAAACCCTACTTCCCTTTTCTTTGCCTCCAAAAATTTCTATGATTTCTAAGATAAATCACTTCCTGCCCTAATAAATTCATTACTTTAATCTTTAATTTTTTTTGAAAGCTATCTGCACATCATTTCAACATGTTCTTTCTATATTCTGTGTTCTACCATTGAGGGAGTTCCATAGTTCTTACATTTGTGATTCATCTGAGGAAATGAGTAATAATATCTTAATTTTATATTAAAGCATTTATAAATTTATTAACTACAACAACAGGAGGAAAATGTACTTCTTTAGATTTTAATACCTGCCTGGGAGACTAAATATATACTCTTAAAAATTCTCTGCTTACATTTGCTATTAGTCATGAAAACTACTTTGTTGTCACTGTTGATAACCATCTTTCAGGGTAACACATTGTAATATGGGTATAGGTAGCTGAGTCAAATGACAAAGATTATTATAATATGGTTACATGAAATGTAAATGACAAAGACATTCTTAATGGACTTACTGAAACTGGGTGCCTGCTACTCCCATTTATACTATAATCCAGTAATGGCAATATCTTGTGCTGTGAATGGGACAGAATTAAATATTTAAGTGTTTATCTTTCATTGTTTCATATATTCATCTTTTTGCTCTGCAGAGAACAGCATTTCTCCATTGAATAATACTAAATGCAGAAAATTGGCTTTGTCTCCAATATAGCAAGATATTTGAATGTGTTAGTAACGCAAGGAAGGTAATTCAAGGTTAGATTTTTTTGCTCCATTTGAGGTTCTGAGGTTACCTGTTCTAGTGGTAATGAGATGGGCTGAATCCCAGACAGTAAAAGGAGTCAAGTTTTTCCTCAAAGAAACTTACCTCTTGATATTTTTTTCAATGTTCTCAAATGCACATCAATCCAGTGAGCAAAATAAAACAAAGCAAAAAAGCAAAACAAAAAACAAACTGACAGATTTCTCATACTTCTTTGTGTTTCGGGATTTGGGGAATTGTCAAAAAGCATATGATTTTCTACCCTTTTTTGTAGCTTGTCTTTCCTCATAACTCTGACTTCTTAAATCTCACCTGGCTTTTCAGTCTCACCCCATTCCAAGGACAAATCTTAACTTGAGCAGGAGCAATTTCAAGAACTCAGAACATTAAAACATTAAAAAGCACAAAATAATAATATGACTTACTGAACAAGGCTTTATATATTTCCTAACCTCACATCAACTCAACAAATTTGATATCATTTCCCCAAAACACACACATGAGGAAATTATTTCTTAACTATCCATTATAGTTATATAGTGCATTTGAGAACACTGAAATAATACCAAGGGACCAACAATCTCAGCAGGAGTCCAGTGTATTTCCAGATATCCAGGAGAAGTAATATTTTAAAACAATGTTGAAGACAGGTATATATTTCAAATAAGAGTGTATAAAGATGGATGTCTATGGTATACTCTTTAAGGGGTAAGGTGCATCTTCAAATGTTACTTTGTAGATTTAATTCTTTATCAAATAAGATTGCACAGATTTGTAATTTAGTAGGAAAAGAGAGAAAGAAATGTTTTTCTCTATGTCACTTCTGTTGTATCCCCATTCCCTAAACTTTCTTTTGTTCACTATCATAGAATAATAAAGTATTAAGGTTACTTTCTTGCTCTATTTATATGACAAAAGAGTTTTATGTTACAGAAATAGAGTAAGGTTACTTATACAAGAGCCTCCTTTGTTGATGATTTTGGACCACTGTTTTTGCTCATCTTCACTGTACGTGAACATCATCCATTGGTACCTTAAAAGTCATTGTTTACAAAGCTCTGTAGATTTTGCCACAGTAGTTTTCTACCATTGATGCTGACTGTACAGGTCCAGCTTGTGTTTTACATCACCATGCTGACCAATTTATTCTCCTCCAGAAAGCATTAGTATCTTATTATTTAGGGGTATTTGGTATGGATCTTTTTCTCTATCATACTAAAAATGATCAGATCTCAGAAAACTGTGGTCTCAGCAGTTTAAAAGAAGTAGTAAAACACAAACAAACTCAAGGGAGGCACCTCCTTGGTGATTAATTATTTAAGCAAGTATTTGTTTTCATCTGCAGTGTCCATATTGAGTATTGTGAATATAAACAAGCACAGTGGATCAAATAAATACTTTAAGTTATTGAAGATATAATTACTTGCTTTTTACATTGACCTAGTGTAAGGTTGTTTATAGCAGTTTTTGCTTCAATAAGAAATATTATTGAGGGCTTGCTGGTTTCATACTCTAACATGAGACCAATATAGTCAGGCTTGATTTCCCATTCTTTTGTGGAAAGATGTGTTACATGCTTCAGTTGAGAATTATTCCTAGTCAATTTTGATGATGTCAGAGAAGATTTCTTGATTAACAAATAACAAAGACATTAAGAATGGTAAACTCAAGGTAACTTGTAATCTTAATGCCATTGTTATCAAACAAGAAACAAACTTTGACCCTAAAATAGTAGATCCCATGCTTTCTTGATATTTTACAATTAAAAAAGAATTACCCACTTCTCAGTCTTTTGGAAAAATAGTCATTCATGATGAATGACATAATATAAAAGAGAACTTGAAGAAAAATCACAATTTATTTTTTTATTATTTGAAAGGCTGAGGCATAAATTAAATGTGTTTTTCAGAACATGCTATTTTTTTCATTATGTACTTAAAGTTTATGTATTTTTGTAGTCTATTTGTATATAAATCAGAGTTTATAATTAACAGTTTTCTCTTTGCTGTCCTTATAAGTGTGATTGCCAGTAGCTTAGCACCCATGCGTAACCTAGCAACAGTTCAGCTCTCTAGCAAGTAAGAAATTAATGCAAACAAAGTGTTGTGTAAAAAAAAAAGAGTTCAATTTCAGATATTAGTTTATGTGTACTATTAAAAATCAAGATGAAATCTTCTAATCTGGAGGAAATTGCATGACAATAGACATTAAATTTCCTAGTAAGTAATATATTGCCAGTGAAATCTTGTCTCCTTCATTCAGGAAAAAAATGGATCTATTTCAGCCTGCACCACTGTTGACTAGGTAACTGAATATATGTGTCTATCCTGGCAGCCTATTCATTACAGATTAGATGAGAAGAGTGTCTTGGCATGTTTTCACTATGTGGTAGATGAGTTTACTAGATGGAATTTCAACAGTAAACCTTCCTGACAGTGATACATTGCTATTCTCTTAAGGAAGAGTTTTAGAATAAATGCTTTAGTTTTCAAAGAACTATGCTTATAGTACTACACTTTTGGAGATACCACAAAAAGTTCCACCTTGTGTTTCACCTTGTGTTTCACTTTTTAAGCCTTTGATATACTTCATATCAGTTGCATTTGGTGAAATTTAACTACTGTAATTGTTCTTTATTTTCAGTGAGAAAATACCTCTCTATTTTAGTTGTAAGGTCATAATAGAACTATATCATGTATTGGGATAAAGCTGCAACTTCATAGGATCATCATTTATATGCTGAATAGACCCAGAGAGAGAGGGAAATACATTCTAGTGAATACTTTCCATTAAATGGCACAGCTTCTATTCTGTGCCAGAGCCAGAATTATTTGGCCTTTCACAATTCAACAGGTAGTTCACTACATGTCAGGAAATCCTAGAGCCCTATAGAAGACTGAGATAAAAGACAGACAGATGAGATATGAGCTGAACATATGATTGTACATTTTAAAATGAATGCATAAGACTTGTAGAACTAGAAAGCATCTGCTCTCTAGTGATGATATTTTTTTTCCAAATACTCTGAATTTGGGATTCTTTTAAAAATCTAACCTTAAATGACTTTGAGTTGTTGCTATCATCATGTTTGTGATGTCATCTTGACCCTGACATCTTTCACTACCCTCTCAGATCTTCCTTCCCTGAAGACAAGGAGAATAAAAATCATGAGATACTTAGAGGAAGCCAAACATACCTAACAAGATAGTCTGATTTCATTTATCTGTGAGAAGCTTAGTCACTTATATTATTTGGATTGAAGTGAATCACCTTAAATAAATGATGGAATACTTTTTTTATGAGGTCAACAGTTACCTACTCTTGAAGACCATCCAGCTGCAATTGGATAGACAAGTTGCCTGGAATTTATACCCCAGATGTCATGACAGAATAACATAGTTTGTGATGCTGCTGCTCATCACAGCTCCGGGTACTGGTCAGTTGTTTAGGACAGTGACACTTTAGATGTGGCATATGTATATTACCTTCCTCTTACAGAGCTGACATCTCAATGGTGTCTGTTGATAAAAAAAGTACCATCCTTTATTTTGGGAAGTTGAAGTCGTAGACGGCAAGAATGATCTTATTTGTGATCTTATCCAATACCTTCTAACTGTTAGCTTCCAATAAATGGCTATCTTCTTCTTTTCAATTAGTATTTGTGGGTATGTCAAAAAGATCCACAACAACCACTGAAATTATGTTAAAATAACCTACATTACAGAATATATGTTAGCAAGAGATAAAAACACTCAAATAATATATGCTCTGGTAGAGGAAATAAAGTTTAAAGATCTATTATGGACATATTTTAATTACTGTAAAATCATTGTTAAACCATGAAGTTGATCTGAAAGGCACTGTGCTTGTTATTACAGGTTTGGTTACAAAAGTACGGCTACCTTCCACCGACCGACCCCAGCATGTCGGTGCTGCGCTCTGCGGAGACCATGCAGTCTGCCTTAGCTGCCATGCAGCAGTTCTATGGCATTAACATGACAGGAAAAGTGGACAGAAACACAATTGAGTAAGTAATGACACCCCACTCCCTGTTTTGGTTCTTGAGCCACATTAAGTAGCCTGAAAAACTTTAAGTGAGCTCTGCTGGCCACAGATGGAGTGATCTTTTTTTTCATGAACTTTTCTTCGGAATTTAACCTATTTTAACTCCATTCTCCTGAGATGTCAGATTTTTCAAAGTCATATTTACTCATCTGACTTTAGCAACACATTTTCAAAATAGGGAAGAAAATATGAATGATGAATGTCAAAGTGGATGTACGACTGAAGCCACTATGTGAAGAGCAGCGGTCGGTGATGTGTTGGAGCCGGCTCACAGGGTTGGTGAGAGCATACTGTGCACCTTGTTTCCCTGAGAGGTGATACCATATCAGTAGTTGAAATTGGCCAAAGTAACAATCATGCCAACAAAGGAAAATGGGAAACAATACAATTCAGGGCTCTTGTTTATGGGGGAGAGCCAGTTAACAGTTTATTAGCCCCCTACTAGTGACAATTTTTTAAGTTAGTTAAACCAAGAAAGGGTTTTCACTTCAAAGTGTCTGCTTTTGGTATTTTATTATCAAAATGTTTGCTTTTACTCTTACTGAACTAAAAATTACTTTACTGGTTCATCAGTCATTCGTTCACTTATTTATTCAACTAATAACTCTTTACTGGGCAGGTTGTGAAAGAGGCATATGCAGATTCAGAAGACGTAGGCTCTTCTTCAAAAGAACTTCGCATTAACTGCTTAGCTAGACATAGTCACAAATTATTTTGTCACAGGTACACTAAGTTCCGTTATGAAAGAACATTATTTTTTCTGGAGAGCAAAGGAGGAAGTGATTAATTTTTTCAGTGCATCAAAGAGTCATTTGTGTTTATTGAGTCCTTGATACTCACAAAGTAAATCTACTTCATTATTAATATGATCATCACACATCAACCCTCCACAATAGGGCAAACAGTTGTACACTTTCCTCTACTTTTTCAAATAAAGAAATGGAAAGTCAAAATTTAAGTGAACTCCAGAAGGTTGCAGAATCCAGATCTGTTGGTGTATAGTTGGGGAACATTCTACTACACCATCGTGTGTACCTCAAGAAATAATACATTTATTTTTCTTTTTAAACCTTAATTACCTGAAATATCTGAGTTCAAGTATATTTCTAAAATTGTATTTTGCTGTCTAATACTTACAGCATGATGTTAGTATACTGTTTCTATTTCAGGATGGGGAAACACCTAATAAAAGTCTTGAAAATTAAACATCAAATCAATTTAAAGAAATATATTACCTTTCCTAGAATTTTTAAGATATGTAAATATTAACTTTGACCTACATCTGTGAAAATAGAATTAGTAATTTTATAATACATTCTCTGTGCATGAAAAACTTGTTTTCAAAATTGGGAATAAATCTTGGTTATTTTAACCTACTTATCCTCTTTAGTACTTTCTCTCTTTAGTATACTATCAAACTTTCATTTAAGTCATAATATGCCGCTTTTCTTAGACAAATAAAGCTTTAAATTAATAAGGAAAACCTGTAGTAATTCCCATAATTTGTTGCTGTATATAGTACAGAATTCCACTTAAATTATATTCTTCATCACAACATTTTACAAAGTTCTCAGGGCAGCTTTCTTGTTCCCTTATGCAGAGCTATCTTCTGATTCACTTTCTTCAAAAATATGACAGTTTTTTTTTTACATACAATAATTGAGAACTGGGGAAGCCAAGTACTTTAAATCTGTTTTTTACGAGATATTAAAGTTAAGAAAGTCCAGAAATCTGTGTTTCCCCAGAATTTTGAAAGCTCTTCAGGTTACTGGAAGGACTCAGATGGAAAGGTTTGATTTCATATAATGTCTGGGAAAAGGTTTTTGTCAGGAGTTAAGGGAAGAGAAATGTGTGCAAGATTTATTTGGGCCCTTCATGTGGAAAGGGATCTGAACAGTTTGTAGTAGTCCTCTGACAGGACCATGTAAAAGATGCAGAGGTGTGGAGAAGGACAGAGGCTTTTGGGGGCATCCAGTGGCTCTGATTCCAGACCAGAAGAAATGATTGTCCCAGTGAGTAGGAGTTTAAGGAGCTTTTCTATGAATTATGGCATTATAGAGAAAGTAGTCAGGCTTTCAATGAACACAAAATGGTCTTTTGGCTATTTCAGTTTTGGTGTGTGGTTTTTTTTAAAACAAAACTTTGTTCTAAATCAGTTGTTTATCATTTATTTATTTATTTTTGAATTGGAAATACATCTTTCTCTTTAAATAGAGTGTTTTTTACCTGATAGTTATTTCTAGGTGAACCCTCCGAAGCCTTCTTAAACTCCCGTTTTCCCTTCCTGGACTGCCATGCTTCCTCTGTCCTCTGTGCCACATTCATTGTCACTCAAACTGGGAACCCTGTGGCTTCATTTGCTTCTTGTCTGTTTAGATCCACTGTTGTATCCCCAGGCTTGGGGTATTGTTATTCATGGTACTCAGCTCAAATAGTGTGCTATTTTTCTAAATAGAACCCCTAGAATCATGCTACTTAAGCAATTGTCTGTACTTTTGTAATCACAAATGAATGTGTGTTAACAATCTCTGCTGAAATCCCATGATTACTGTACATAGTCAAATTATTAGGTATAAATTTTTATCTAAGCCTTATTCATAAACTATAGACAATTATAGACCTAGAATTATTTCTCAATAGTAAAATAATGTCTTGAGATTCATTTTCATATGCTATAAATTTTACCCAGTTTTAAATTCTTGTCAAGGTCAATTGTTTTTAAATTAAATAATCATATCCTCCATCAGACATTCAGTGCATTAAATCTTTAATTCTTTGGTAATTAAAAATAACGATGCCAATCGTGGTAGTCCCTATATTATGTTGAAGAAATTAACCATTTCAAGCCACATATATAAGTATTGCTTTAAATGGCATATTATTTTGCTTTTATATTTGTTAGCATTGGTGTTAGTAATAAATAACCCCTACCCCTCAATGAGCTCATTATCATATGTTGCAATAATTCTTGTACATTATGGTTTGTTCAGCTAATTTTTCTGAGCAAGCTCACTTAAATTCCTAAATAAGTGGAGCAATTTATGTTGTGCTTGCTAAATTACATTTAGCAAGGAGAGAAAAAGTTAGCAAGGCAATAACGAAAATGAGTCTAATATGCTTATATAATGTTGATAGTATTTTTAAAGTTTTGTTTATCTTTTATGTGTGTGGTGTTATGCACTGAAGTGCGATTAATGAGGTATCACTTTCAGGGTGATCTTTCTTAATCTCCCTTTATATATGTGTATGTATATGTGTGAGTGTTATACATATATATGTAGGATATGAGTAATTTTGCTTAATTTATTCAAGCTTTTTAAAAAGATTATTATACTATAGTGGTATTTGATCTCCACATTTGAAAATAGAAGTATTTATTTGGATATATCAAGATTCACAAGCTTTCTGGTTTATCAATATATTTTGTTTAAACTATCAAGTTAAGACTCTCTTCTTTTTTAATTTGGATATAAAAGATAGGTTCATCAGTAATTAAAGTTATTTTTCTTCTGAATATACCAGTGGTACTCAAACACTATAACATTATAGGATAGATCAACCCTCATTTGGTAACAGAACAATGGTTGATAGCTAAATAAGCAAGGGCCTTAGCTTCCCCTCCTGAGACATAACTGCTCTCCAGAGCACTGAGTTTAGATATTTTTCCTTTTTAAGTTGAGATAATTTAAATGAAGACATTAATGACCTGTCCAACTAATTTTAAAATGCTGTGTGTTCTAAACAACTAAATCAATACTGAATATCCATGTTATTTTTATGAAAATTGAGTAGTACCATCATTTATACCTTGAAATTTAAAAAATGCCTTTCTTGTAGCTCACCCTTTCCTCCTCCATTGCCCATTCCCATGTCTGTCTGCTTTAGAATGTCAACTTAAAATTCTTAATCAAATAAGTCAGCAAAGAAGCACATGTATGTAAGCTTAATTCAATTTGACACACTGAAAAATAAGTATGTTTTAGTAATGATACCTTCTTAAAAAAGCACTGCTTGAAAATAATACACACAACACACACACACACACACACACACACACACACACACACACACACTTCATCCCACTTCTTTCATATGTTATGGTTGTTACCTTAGGTGAGACAGTCAGTCAATTTACTTGTGCATACAGTTTTTCACCCTTGTGTACAGGTATATATGGGATTTATCAAGTTGGTTTATGAATGCAGCTAAGATTTTGCAGCTCATATAGCACCACTAATATACCAATTTTATATTTACTATTAAACATTCAATTCATTGATGAGTCCTGTTGAACATAGACCATTATTTTTATCTACTGAGAACTTTAAAAATTTTAGGAGCAAGAATCTGATTTATGAAATTAAAAGAATAATTTAAGTGTTTGAAGTCACATAAAAAGTCAGAAGACCAATTTAGCTCAGATAATATATGTCACATTCATTTGCATGATATACTTTGAGGTTTTGCATATTTAATAAATAATGCTTGCTAATATCTCTGTGCCAGAACATATGGATACAAATAGAGGTGAAGTTAATATGGAATGTTCTCAACTTGACCAACCTTCATTAAGGACTCTTTGCATTAAATTAACAACTGATACTAGATTATGCCTGTTCTTATATTCATTTCTCACACTCAATTCATTTATTTTATAATTTAGCTTTATATAAAAGTATAAACAATATCTGTGCAATAAGCATTTATTCAAGGCACAGAACTGTAAAGACAAAGTCTCCAAGGAATATGTAGGATATTAGGGGAGATCTGCATGTGCAAAAAAGTCTTGCAGACTTAGTTCATTGGTTTCATGTTCCTTATTGGAGATTTCACTGAGTGCTAGCCCCATTCAAAGCTCTCTGTCATTACTCAATGCCAGTGGAATATAGCGGCATACACAAATTAAAATAGACAGCATAATACATTGTGTTAAAATGGTAAACTACCTGTATGAGTTGAATAGTGAAAGTTAGAATTCTTAAAGTGAACTAGGAGGAAAACGTATTCCAGAGAGAGGTCACTGTATACAAAGGCATAAAGAGGTCTGGTTCCTTAGGTACCTGAGTGGATCTTGGGAAGCGAAGGCCAAAGGACATTCTTCTAATTAGATTTTATTCTTAATATATGTAGAAAACACATCTGTGCTTTGGGAAGATTTATGTTTAGAAGTGAGAAGGTAGACATTAGTGCAAGTGAGCGATACCATGTGAAATTTTGGAGGCAAAAGACACTCCATCATAATTGGCTGGATGTGAGGAGAGAGCAGTGGAGGACATTATCTGGGTATCTGGTTTCAGCATAGAAGGATCAGAGGAATTGGTACAAGTCTGGAGTAGGAAAATCACAATTTTGTTAGCACATGTAAAATTAGAAATCATGGCAGGATATCTAGATGGAGATGTGAGAGCACTTAACCCATTATATTCTTATTGTTGTTTTTTATATCTCAGCATGTTACAAAAGCTCAAAAATATTACTGGATGAATGAATCAGAATGGAATGAGTAAATAATTGAGCAAATAATTGTAACATAAGACAAATTCTGTTAAGTGAGCAAAAATCTATGAAATACATAAGGAATTCAGCAGAGATATCTTTCAACCCAGGAATCTTATTCTTAGTCCTAAAAACCCTATCCTTCGGAAGATGCAGTCTTTCACTGAGAAAACATTTACTATATCCAAGATATGCATGATCTAAGAGGAAATATATATTAATAAATTTAAACTTTTTTCAATGCTACCTTCATTTTTTAATTTCATAGATTATTAGAGTAATTTTAGAGAATCTCTTCTCATTGACAATATACTTTATCCTAATAGCTAATTCTTTTTTGTCAAATTTTATCCCACTATCCATTTCAAAATAATTTCTTTTCCCAGAGTGCTACTTAAATATTTATCTTAGCTAAATGTAAGTGTAACCACATCCACATTAAGTAAATTTATTCATTTTAATAATTATATATTCTCTATTCTCCAGTACTTGCAATGAGATAAATAAGAATAAGTACCTGCCTTTAGGAATATTATAATTTTTTTGAGAATATAACTACGGGATACTTATATATAAAATCCTCTTAATTCATAATAAGCCCTCTGTTAATACTTAAAATTTGCTACTTGGATCTATATCTAGATATTACAGTATATAATAAAAAGTAATCCTTTTTCACTAAAAATAATATATATACAAAGTATCTCTATCCACTATCATTGAGAATCTTTTATATTCCAAAAGTTGTATAAGATACTGGAGGGATGTAGATACCCTGCCCTTGAATATTTTGAAATATTTGAGTGTAGTGAAATCTCTCTCAAATTTAGTGGCTTTGAGAAATGCTCTGGAAGTGTTAGTTAAAAATAAGGATTCTACAGTCTTAACTCCACAGAGTTCAATTCCGTAGCTCTGGAAAGCCTCCTAGGAATTAGTATTTACAATACATGTCATTTGGTTTGGAGACTTTCATAGAGGGCAAGAGTGGTTTTTTGGAAGTAACCCTAAAATGCATTTTTTTTCTCCTTTCCACTTTCTGAAGCATGTAGCACCATGAAGATTCTGCATTAGCTTTGTAATTGTTCAGTTAAATGCGCTAATGAATGGTAAAGCTATTTTATGAGTCACTGAAGAAAAACTACTGCAAATCATGAAAATATTTCTCCTTAGAAGAGAAGCAAGACTATATAGAAAACAAGACAATGGCCAAATGAATCTCCCTAGAAATGAAGTTAGACAACTGTATCTGAACAAGTATTGAAAATTAATAAATTAAAAGCAATATTTCACTTTCCATATATAAATGGTAAACCTATTCATGTGATGCTAAACCTCACATTCGGAAAGAAATATTTGTTAGGCATTGAATTTGATTATTATTAAAGATTCCAAACAATTTACTTCTTTGTAAACTAGAAAAGAGAATAGCATATATCCTCTTGACTCCTGGAATTTAAGGTCATGTGGTAGATTTTTTAAATTGTTGAATGTTAAAGCTGGAAGAGGCATTAGTGATAATTTATTTTTAAAAGTCTCATTTTATGAATAAGTCCAGGGATTAATTAATTGCCCAAGGTCACATATCTTATTAGGAGCAGATTCTAGTTAGAAGCTTAAGAGTACTTAAGTCTACAGTAAGCTCAAAATGAATTAGAAAAATTATGTAAAAAAATGAGTTGTGAACTAGTGATTCTTGATCAAGGGGAAAAATACATGCTTTTTACTTCAATTCAAATTGCAGAAAAATTTACAATTTTCTCTTTTATGTTTTCTGATTTCATTATCACTGTCATAGATTAACTTCTCAATTGATTTCCTTTTGCAATTAATGATTAGGCTTGTTGGTAAATAACTGGAAAATACTGCTTTTTGCAGCTGGATGAAGAAGCCTCGATGTGGTGTACCTGACCAGACAAGAGGTAGCTCCAAATTTAATATTCGTCGAAAGCGATATGCATTAACAGGACAGAAGTGGCAGCACAAACACATCACGTACAGGTATAAAAACTAATGATGTTATTTCTTGTCTTTTGGATGGTGGCCATTCAAAATGGTATACTTGAAACCAATATAAGATTGTATATCAATGATACTTCAATAAAGAAAATTATTTTAAAAAAGAGCTAAGGATGAATTACCATTTTCTCCATTTTTTCACAACTACTTATTTGGATATTTTGTTTGACATCTTATGCACATTGACTGCTTGTTAACATATAGTGATATAATATTAACATAAGAAACTAAAAACTGCAATTGGAATGCAAGTAAATTGTCTATCTGGGGGCCTTGTAGACATTCCTTGAAAATTTGGTTTCTTGTAAACTAGATCTTCCAGCTTCTTGAATGAATGTCAATACTCTGAATGAATTCCTGATGGTATTCTAACATATTACATTCTTTAACAAATATTAATAACCAAAAATACAATGAAATAATAAAGTATATAAATAATTACCATTTAACCAAAATGTATTTAGTCCAACCATATTACTTTCTTTTTGGCAACAGTGCAGATGGATCATTCTTTCCTGTTTTGTCTTCATTGAAGGATGTCTAAGGGATGTGAGTGTCTTCCAACCTAGGGTGATAGTTGCTGCTAATGGAGATGTTCGGATTTATTCATTAGTTCATTGAAGAACTGCTTATTGAGTCACAGTTTGAACAAATAATAGTGCTAAGCACTGTAGATAGGGCAATAAATAAAACTTGGAGACTCTGTCTTCATGGGATTTATAGACATGTGGGGGAGGTGAACAATCATAGAAACTTGTTGCCTGTCAGGAAAGGGACAGAACAGAACACAAGAGAAATATAAGCCAGAGCCATCCAGCCCACTGCAAAATAATCAGGGAAGGTCTCCCTAAAGAATGACCTTTCAGCTACGATTCACAGGAGGAGAAAGAACTTGTTAAACCAACAGACTGGGGAAGAGGAAGGGCACTTTAGGGGGAGGGTAGATGTTGGGAACCATCTCTATCGAATTACATGAATGCAAAGAAGAAATTTATAAGTATTATTCTTTGTATAAATAACCCTTCATGTATGTTTAAGATAAAATTTAAGACTCAATATATTGATTTTATATCTTGGATAGATCTTGAAAAGTATTTATAGACTTTGATATAGGTCTAGAGTGTGCCATTGAATTTAATATGGTTATTTTGGAAACATTTTTGATTACCATTTTCTCCATTTTTTCACAACTACTTATTTGGATATTTTGTTTGACATCTTATGCACATTGACTGCTTGTTAACATATAGTGATATAATATTAACATAAGAAACTAAAAACTGCAATTGGAATGCAAGTAAATTGTCTATCTGGGGGCCTTGTAGACATTCCTTGAAAATTTGGTTTCTTGTAAACTAGATCTTCCAGCTTCTTGAATGAATGTCAATACTCTGAATGAATTCCTGATGGTATTCTAACATATTACATTCTTTAACAAATATTAATAACCAAAAATACAATGAAATAATAAAGTATATAAATAATTACCATTTAACCAAAATGTATTTAGTCCAACCATATTACTTTCTTTTTGGCAACAGTGCAGATGGATCATTCTTTCCTGTTTTGTCTTCATTGAAGGATGTCTAAGGGATGTGAGTGTCTTCCAACCTAGGGTGATAGTTGCTGCTAATGGAGATGTTCGGATTTATTCATTAGTTCATTGAAGAACTGCTTATTGAGTCACAGTTTGAACAAATAATAGTGCTAAGCACTGTAGATAGGGCAATAAATAAAACTTGGAGACTCTGTCTTCATGGGATTTATAGACATGTGGGGGAGGTGAACAATCATAGAAACTTGTTGCCTGTCAGGAAAGGGACAGAACAGAACACAAGAGAAATATAAGCCAGAGCCATCCAGCCCACTGCAAAATAATCAGGGAAGGTCTCCCTAAAGAATGACCTTTCAGCTACGATTCACAGGAGGAGAAAGAACTTGTTAAACCAACAGACTGGGGAAGAGGAAGGGCACTTTAGGGGGAGGGTAGATGTTGGGAACCATCTCTATCGAATTACATGAATGCAAAGAAGAAATTTATAATTATTATTCTTTGTATAAATAACCCTTCATGTATGTTTAAGATAAAATTTAAGACTCAATATATTGATTTTATATCTTGGATAGATCTTGAAAAGTATTTATAGACTTTGATATAGGTCTAGAGTGTGCCATTGAATTTAATATGGTTATTTTGGAAACATTTTTGAATGTTATTTTGTATTCTTATGCTAATGCCAGATAGCATGCTCCTAGATTATTATCTTATGAAACTTATTTCATGTATTTCTGCAGATAAATCAAAAAGGAAGCAGTTTTAGGCCAAGCCCATGAAATAAATACTCATAATCATGTAAATGTGTTCACAAGACTTTTTACTTCACAAACTTGCTTTACCATCTCTACAATCCACACTTCAGGAAACAGTTAAAAAAGATTTAATATGAAGTAGAGTTTGTATTTTCCCAATAAGTAGAATATCCGTTTCTCTTGCTCAGTACTATGAGTGAATTAGTCATCAAATAGTGCTTGGTGAGCAGAAAAATTGGATAGATCTTGAAAAGTATTTATAGACTTTGATGAAGAATTACAGAAATAAATTCCTTTTCTGGCCAGATGACAAAGTAAATGCAGTGAACCATCTTTGATTGAAGTAAAAACTGAATGAGAGATACTGACATTCCAAATTAAAGAAACTAAGATGTATTTTGACCTGTAACAAAAGGAAAGGACTATGAAATCCAAAAGTAAAGGGTATTCTGAAAACTTAGGAGATATGTAAGTATAAGATAATAAAATTCTTTCTTGAAATATAAGTTATTAAAGGACAAACTCCATATGGTCACCTTAATAGACACAGAAATATGATAAAAGGAAACATAACACCCATTTATGATAACTAGGAATCAAAGCGAAGAAGGATCCTTTCTTTATCAGAAAGAATAGCATCTTCACAAAGCAAAACTACATATTTCACATATAATAAACATGAAATTTTTGATAAAAATGCTATGGAGCAACAAAAGCAAAAAAACACTTGCTACTTCTCTTCAACAACATTGCACAAATACTTACAGTTGTAAAGAAATGAAAGGAAATAAAACATATAAGGATTTGTAAAGAAATAAAACTCTCACTAGTCACTGTTTCTATCACTTTCTAGAAAACCCAGAATAAATTCTGGATAATTTTTTAGAAATAATAAAAGAATATAACCAGGTTCTTAAAAAAAATTAATAGATTTTATGTTTTAGATCAATTTTAGGTTTACAGAAAAGTTGAGCAGATAACACAAGTAGTTCCCATACACAGCCCATATCTCATGCACACATGCATAATTTATGCTATTATTAGATTTTGCATTGGTGTGATATATTTGTTACAGTTGCTCAGGTATTGTTGCTATATTACTGACTAAGTCCATAGTTTATGCTAGGGTTCACTTTGTGGTGTAGTTTTATGGGTTTTAACAAATGATTAATGTCATGAAGCATTACATATACTATGATATAGTATAGTTTCACTGCCCTAAAAATCCTGTTACACCTATTCATTCCTCTTCTCTTCCCCCAAATTCCTGGAAACTACTGATCGTTTTAATGTCTTTATGGTTTGGCCTTTTCCAGAATATTATATAGTTGGAACCATAAAATATGTAGCCATTTCAGACTGCCTTCTTACACTTAATAATCTGTATCTAAGGCCTTCCCATATGTTTTCATTACTTGATAGCTTCTTTCTTTTTATTACTGAATAATATTCCATTGTATGGACATGTGACAGTTTGTTTACCCACTTGCCTATTAGAGATTTGTTTGTTTTGGCAATTATGAACAAAGCTGGTATAAACATGAATGGACAGGTTTTTGTGTGGACAAAAAGTTTCAACTCTTGGATAAATATCTAGGGATATAATTGCTGATAAAATGGTAAGACTATAGTTAATGTCTTAACTGTGTAAGAAACTGTCAAACCATCCTCAAAGTAGCTGTACCATTTTGCATTACCACCAGCAATGAATGAAAGTTCTTAGTCAACATTTGGTGTTGTCAGTGTTCTGGATTATAACCATTCTAATAGATAGAAAGTGGTATTTCAATGTTATTTTGATTTGTGGTTCCTTAATGACTTATCTTGCTGAGCATATTTTCACATGTTTATTTTCCATTTCTGTATCTTCTTGGGTGAAATGTTTGTTTAGGTATTTTGACCAACTTTTAATTGAGTACTATTTTTAAGAGTCCTTTGTATATTTTGGATATGTCTTATATCATATGTGTTTTCAAATATGTTCTCCCAGTTTTTCATTCTCTTTACAGCATCTTTTGCAGGGCAGAAGTTTTCATTTTTATAATCCAAATTATTTACCAATTATTTTTTTTACCTTTGGTGTTGTATAAAAAAATCATTACCATAATTCAAGGTCAATTACATTGCCTTCTGTATTATCCTCTAAAAGTTTAATAATTTTATGTTTATATTTAAGCCAGAGATCCATTTTTAGTTGTGTTTGTGAAAGTTGTAAAGTCACTGTCTAGATTCATTTTTTTCAAATTAATTAATTTTGGATGTTCAGTTGTTGTAGAACCATTTGTTCAAAAGATCATCCTTTCTCCATCACCTTTGCTCCTTGCTGAAGAACAGTTGGCTATATGTGTTGGTCAATTTCTGGCTCCTTATTCTGTTTCATTGATCTGTGTATCTGTTCATAAACCAAAATCACACTATCTTGATTACTGTAGTTTTATAGTAAGTCTTGATGTCAGGTAGTGTCAATTTTCTGACTTTATTCTTCTTCATTAGTGTGTTGTTTCAGAGTGACTGTATTGAATCTACAGATCAATTTGGGAAGAACTGACATCCTAACAATATTAGGTCTTACTATTCATGAACATGAATATTTCCCCATTTATTTAGATCTTTGCTTTCTTTAATCATAGTTTTATACTTTTACTCATATAGATCTTGCATATATGTCTTAG